TCCACTTGGTGATACAAAGTGCTCATGCAACTAGAAACATAATTTTTTGTGAATACAATATAATCAATCCAGATGTGTTTTTTCTGAAAATTCTTTTAAAGTGCTTAGTGAGCAATTTATTTAAAATTGTGCAATATAAAGTTACAATTCTGAAAACAAGAGCAGTGTTTCACTTAGTGTATTAAACGGACACTCCAGGCACCCAGACCACTTCTGCCCATTGGAGTGGTCTGGGTGCCAACTCCCACTACCCTTAACCCTGCAACTGTAATTATTGCACTTTTCATAAACTGCAATATTTACCTTGCAGGTTTAACTCCTCCTCCAGTAGAGGGCACTTCCGGGTTTATAGCACAGATTTTTTGTGCTAAAGAGTCGCTGGACGTTCTGACGCTATGTGAGGACCTCCAGCGTCGCTGAAATCCCCATAGGAAAGTACTGAAATCATTTTCAATGCTTTCCTATGGGGAGGTCTAATGCACGCATACGCATTAGGTCTCCCCCGTCACGGCCGCGCATGCACAATATAGGTTTGTTTTCCTGGCACTGGAGAGTCCCTTTAATGAGCATAAAAATATTCTTTGAATATATACCTTATACATTTCCCTTGTTCTTCTTTTTCTCCTAAGGGTCTTATTGATATATCTTTTTTATATATTTTAGCCCAAATATGTGCTTCTACACAGTATATATATATATATATATATATATATATATATATTCATATTCTAAGTATTAATATTTTTTATGCTATCCTGGACTTTATAAGGACATTATGTATATGTATCTATGCCTTTTTTGGGCACTGTCCATACTTATCTGTGCCATTCTATGAGTGTGCACTCAGGTGTGACCAAATAATTACATTACTATCCTTTTATTTTGGCCAAAAATGGCGGCCGTGACATGCGTCTCACAGTGGAATGCAAGGAAGTAGACCCTGGGCGAAACTGGAAGTGACGTCGCGCCACAACCGGAAATGCCACTACGGCCCTTTTGAACCCGAAAAAGAGGCTTTGAACACTCTACACATAAAAAAAAAAATTGCTTTGTTTAGCTATATAAATGCAATGTGATGTAAATATATTTTTGCTGAACTGATCCTGATGAAAGCCACGGGTGATGGCTGAAACGTCGATACTATTGGAAAATATGTTCTAAGAAATTTGAAATAAAGGAAGAATATTTTTATACAAGAAAAAGACCGTGAGTGCAAGCCCTCATTTGCTATATATATATATATATATATATATATATATGTATGGGGGAAAAAAATCCCCTGCACTCATGCTTTCTCTACCACTGCCGGGTGCATAAGCCTGAGCTCCAAAGATACAATTCAACATTGAATGGCTGCTCACCGGTCTTAAAGACGTAAATACTTTATTAGATGAAGTTAAAAATCATTTCTAACTTCATCTAATAAAGTATTTATGTTTTTAAGTCCGATGAGCAGCCATTTTATGTTGAATTATATATATATTTTCAAACTGCTGATACATTGTGACGAGACCAATCTCGCCACTGTGCATTGGAGGAGCCTGGTTGCCCGCCTGCTGCCTTTAGACCATGGCCCCATGTTGAAACGCTTGATTTTCCCCTGCAAAGACATGAAAGCTGGGTCATTCGGTACTTGCCCTATTTTAACAGTGATATCCCAGATAGCTATGCCATGGAGCCCATTCGTATAACGAAAGACTATGTGAAAGACTTTGGCTCCATGGCAATTGAACTGTATGTGTGTGATCTGAGCGCCATTCAGTAATAATGTGCGCTCAGATCTAAGCTATCTGGGGATATGTTGAATGTACCTATTTTATGCAATAGCTGCACAGTTATATATTTTTATGTATTTTATTGTCTTTTGCTACCTTGTGTTTAATGGAGTTTTGCTTCTGTCCTTGGAGATAATTCGATTACTTCCCAATTATTTCCAGGATAGAAGACTCTGTGGAATTGGTTTTGGGCAGAAACGCCATGCTTCATTTGGTCACAAAGGACTTTGATCTTTTGAACCACTGGACCAATTTGGATGATTTTGACATATGTTTGTATTTGGAGTATGCTGATTCTGAAAATGTGAATGTGATGTATACTTTTAAAGTTATGAATAATGTGGAAAAAACGTATTTCTCTGCCTGTGATAATTACATTAACCCATTGTGTAAGGTAATTGTATCACAGGCAGAGGGGAGGATTTTGTGTGGGAGTGTCTGAGTGTAATGTACGTGTTTACTGGTTGTTTTACAAAACCCTGTAGGTGGTACTAATGTGTAAGAATGTGTATATAAGAACAATAAAACCCACAGCTCTGTGAGTTCACTGCTTGACCCTCAACACGGAGCTTTGTCTCGTTCTTGGGGGGATTTACTGTATGCTGTTAGAGACTGATAGCCAGGAGTGTAAGCCGCTTGGGTGCTTTTCCTATTCAGCTGCTAGCAGCTATTCGTGAGGTTCCAGTTCGGGAGTTTGGAGTGCTACTTTGTATTCTGTTCGGGAGTTTGGGGTTCTGCGGTAGCTGTGCCTGTGTCTCTGGAAGTGTTAAAAGGTATCTTATAGAAAAGAGACTTTTTGGGTGTTTTGAGGTTGCAGAAGGAAAACTTGTTTGTGTTTTTAAAAAAAATAATAATAATTATATATATATATATATATATATATATATATATATATATAAATAATATATTTTGCATGTTATATTAATTTGCACTTATATTTTATTTTAATGACCCATACGTCAAAACAGCATTAACTTTCACTATCATGTTAGAAACATTTCTGAGTCCTACTAACTTTTAATAAAGAATTATATAACAATTTAAATACAAATTATTTAAATCTCAGCTGCCCAAATTACCTTTGTTATGTCCATTAGTGTAACAGAAACAATGTCAATGATACTCCTCCTGCGAACTCTTACTCCACACAGATATTAAGTTGTACCCCCCTCAAAAACTACCTCCCATATTGAATTTGCTCAAAACATTTTACAAAACACTATTTTACAGCCAGTAAACTGTCCCCACATCATGTTTTGTGTACATTCAGGCTAAACCTGACAAGCAATCAAGAAATAAACCCCAAAAATGTAACTAGATCAGGGCAGACAGTTACTACAAAAACACCAGGCCCGCAGCCTCCTTAATTTCCATATTCCAATTACAACTGTGAACATCTGACAGTAGTTATGTTGCCATTAAAGCTGTGTATTATAATGCAATATTCAGAGACCCCTTTGACTATTCAGCATTAAAGACCAAAACAAACTGAAAAAAAATAATCTTAGATTTCGAATGCAGCCAGAAAACATTATGAATGTGTAATTTCCATTGCCTTTTTTAGTGAACCCATAAACGCAGTGTTACCCAGTAATTTACATATAGATACTTGCAAATCCAGTCTTTAGAAAATATCATCAAATGTAAATTACAAACAGAACCACAGCATTAACCATGCAAGGGCTCTGTGACTGCAGGAGATTAGGTAAGGAGCATTGTAGGGCAGGGTATACATTCTTTAACATTATAAATCCTTTTTTTTCCCCATTCTTTATTTAAAATGGTTACCATCAGAGAGTATACATAGCAATTTGGGAATTACAAGGTATTTGGTAAAATTTTCCAGTTTGTATGAACAAAAAGAAACATTAACAATATAAAAACAGTAATGTGTGCATTAAAGCGGCACTGTCATGCCGAACTTACCTTTCCTCAATCTCTTCCTCTTCTCCCCCTCTCTCAGGATCTGTTCTTCTTTTCTTCCTGTCTTCTTTAGTTTTCTTTAAAATCATAAGACAAAGTAGGGACTCTTTGCCTTATGGAGGATTCCTCCGCTTGACCAGCTCTGACCAGCGGAGGAGCAAAGTGTGCTTCATTTCCGCTGGTCAGAGCAATTTTCCCATAATCCCTAGCTTTCCTCAGTGTTCCCACAATGCTTCCTGTCATTTTACACTAAACTGCCGAATTGCGTTCTAACTGAATGACAACAGTATGTTCGTTTCTTTTAGAACGCAATTCGGCATTTTATTCGGATCGGAATTTCATTCTAATGAATGAAACTCTGATCCTATTCATTGCTGTGGCTGCATTTTGCAGCCGCTTAGTAGATAACTCCCTAATTCCCACGGTATCAGGGAGCTATCTACTAAAAGGCTGAAAGACCTAAATTGGTCTAACAGCCAACTTTACTAATACTAAGTAAAGATTACTTAGTATTAGTAAATAATATGCCCCTACTCGCTATACCGCGAGTAGGGGCATGTGTAGTAAGCAGTGAGCAGCTTATAGCTGCTCACTGTAAAAACCCCCCCCCATGCCCGTGGGGGCCCTAAATAAAGATGGGGGGGAACCTACTGGTCCCCCCCCTGGCCCCCACCCCTGCGCGGTGGGTGGGGGCCCTAATAAAACAATAAGGGGGGGGGACCTACTGTCCTCCCCCCCCGGCCCCCACCCCTGCGCGTTGGGTGGGTGGGGGCCCTAGTAAAACAATAAGGGGGGGGACCTACTGTCCTCCCCCCCGGCCCCCACCCCTGAGCGGTGGGTGGGGGCCCTAATAAAACAATAAGGGGGGGGACCTACTGTCCTCCCCCCCTGGCCCCCACCCCTGCGTGGTGGGTGGGTGGGGGCCCTAATAAAACAATAAGGGGGGGGACCTACTGTCCTCCCCCCCGGCCCCCACCCCTGCGCGGTGGGTGGGGGCCCTAGTAAAACAATAAGGGGGGGGACCTACTGTCCTCCCCCCCTGGCCCCCACCCCTGAGCGGTGGGTGGGGGCCCTAAATGAAACACCCCCCCCCCAATCAAGGTGACTAGGGGTCCCAAGCCCCTAGTCACCATCCCCCCCCACCCAAAAAAAACCTATCCCCTACCTACCCCCCTCACCCTACAAATAGTGAGGGGGGAATAAAATAACTAACCTGTAAAAAAAAAAAAAATTAAACTTACCATTTGACGTCTTCTTTTTTCTAAAATCTTCTTTCTTCAGCCCCCAAAAAGGCCAAATAAAAAACCATTACACCCGTCGCACTTTAAAAAAAAAAATAAAAATAAGTGCAAAAAATAATAATCCATGTTCGCCCTTCGAGGGCACGCCGCATACTGAGCTCCGCAGGGCGGGTCAAGGCTTTATAAGCCTTGACCCGCCCTGCGGAGCTCAGTATGCGGCGTGCCCTCGAAGGGCGAACATGGATTATTTTTTTTTGCGCTCGTTTTTTTTTTAAAGTGCGACGGGTGTAATGGATTTTTATTTGGCCTTTTTGGGGGCTGAAGAAAGAAGATTTTAGAAAAAAGAAGATGTCAAATGGTAAGTTTAATTTTTTTTTTTTACAGGTTAGTTATTTTATTCCCCCCCTCACTATTTGTAGGGTGAGGGGGGTAGGTAGGGGATAGGTTTTTTTGGGAGGGGGGGTGGTGACTAGGGGCTTGGGACCCCTAGTCACCTTGATTGGGGGGGGGTGTTTCATTTAGGGCCCCCACCCACCGCTCAGAGGTGGGGGCCGGGGGGGGAGGACAGTAGGTCCCCCCCCTTATTGTTTTATTAGGGCCCCCACCCACCGCTCAGGGGTGGGGGCCAGGGGGGGAGGACAGTAGGTCCCCCCCCTATTGTTTTACTAGGGCCCCCACCCACCGCTCAGGGGTGGGGGCCGGGGGGAGGACAGTAGGTCACCCCCCCTTATTGTTTTACTAGGGCCCCCACCCACCGCTCAGGGGTGGGGGCCAGGGGGGGAGGACAGTAGGTCCCCCCCCTTATTGTTTTACTAGGGCCCCCACCCACCGCGCAGGGGTGGGGTCAGGGGGGGGAGGACAGTAGGTCCCCCCCCCTTATTGTTTTATTGGGGCCCCCACCCACCGCGCAGGGGTGGGGGCCGGGGGGAGGACAGTAGGCCCCCCCCTTATTGTTTTACTGGGGCCCCACCCACCGCTCAGGGGTGGGGGCCAGGGGGGGAGGACAGTAGGTCCCCCCCCTTATTGTTTTACTAGGGCCCCCACCCACCGCGCAGGGGTGGGGGCCAGTGGGGGGACAGAAGTTCCCCCCCATATCTTTATTTAGGGCCCCCACCCACCGCTCAGGGGTGGGGGCCAGGTTCCCCCCATCTTTATTTAGGGCCCCCACGGGCATGGGGGGGGGGTTTTATTTTTGTTTTTTTTTTTTTTACAGTGAGCAGCTATAAGCTGCTCACTGCTTACTACACATGCCCCTACTCGCGATATAGCGAGTAGGGGCATATTATTTACTAATACTAAGTAATCTTTACTTAGTATTAGTAAAGTTGGCTGTTAGACCAATTTAGGTCTTTCAGCCTTTTAGTAGATAGCTCCCTGATACCGTGGGAATTAGGGAGTTATCTACTAAGCGGCTGCAAAATGCAGCCACAGCAATGAATAGGATCAGAGTTTCATTCATTAGAATGAAATTCCGATCCGAATAAAATGCCGAATTGCGTTCTAAAAGAAACGAACATACTGTTGTCATTCAGTTAGAACGCAATTCGGCAGTTTAGTGTAAAGTGACAGGAAGCATTGTGGGAACACAGAGGGAAGGTAAGGATCATGGGAAAATTGCTCTGACCAGCGGAAATGAAGCACACTTTGCTCCTCCGCTGGTCAGAGCTGGTCAAGGGAGGAATCCTCCATAAGGCAAAGAGTCCCTACTTTGTCTTATGATTTTAAAGAAAACTAAAGAAGACAGGAAGAAAAGAAGAACAGATCCTGAGAGAGGGGGAGAAGAGGAAGAGATTTAGGAAAGGTAAGTTCGGCATGACAGTGCCGCTTTAAATGAAAGCCCTGTTTTCCCTGAGTAAAAT